TTTCCTTTTTCCTCAGAATGTTACGTACATTCATACAAGGTCGAACACTGACTGATATGTTTGTTTTTCTTGAATGAGAAACATTAAGGTTAATCGTGTTAGACATGGTGACACCGACTGCCAAAATTAATAGCGTGCATGGTCGAGAAGCCTTACCACACTTCTGCATTTCCGACCATGTGAGGGACACTCGTATACATACCTATCTCTCTTCAGTATAAGATTTATGTTTCTATAAAATTAATAATTTGTCTAATGAATATTGTATGTAAACGTATCTGAATAAGTCAATGAGCTTACGTGGAGCGTGATTTTTCTGTTTGATTACGGAGCACAACCTTAAATTCGAATTCCGCGTCATACAATTTACGTAACATTCTGAGAAAAAAAAAAAAAGTATATATAAGACGTCAGGCGGGAGCTGACAGCGGAGAGACAATTGTCAAAGAAGAAGGGACGAACGGCATCATCAAGATTGTAAGACACACCACGTTCCCAATATCCTGATTTGAAAGTACGAAGATAAATTTTCATAAAGAGAATGGCATACACGGCTGTCCCGGAATCGATGAAGAATATTAAAGCGTAAGCGCACCGTTTTTTTTTTTTTTGTTCGATTGTTTTGCTGCGCAATGTTACTCCTTACCGAAGTGTATATGGAAACTAATCCAACCTTCTTACGTTTTATTAGGCTGCTGTATAGCGTGTTTGGAACAATCGTGGACTGGCGTACAACTGTGGCCCAAGAGTTAGCCTCATTCGCCACTCTAACTTCAACTCGTTGCTCAATAAACACGCAGATTTCCTCCAAAAACTGGCACGAATTCGCCCGAAAGTGGCGCAGCGGCTGCTCCGACAGTGTTGAAAAGTCACTGTCGACTCGACACCCTTTTCTCACCTTGGACGAGATACATCGAGGAGTTTTGGCTACTCTAATCAAAGAATTCGAAATTCCCCAACATGTATGGAGCGAAGATGAGATGGAACAGGTGAACACTGTTTGGCACCGATTGGATTGCTTCGAGGACGGTATACCGGGCTTGACAAGGTTAAGCAAGAAATACATAAACGCTACCTTGAGTAACGCCAACGTGAAATTATTGGTGGATCTGAAGCGACACGCGGGATTACACATGCTGGATTACATGTTCTCTGCAGAATTGTTTAAGGAGTATAAGCCAAAGGATGTGACTTACCTGGGGGCATGCGAGATGCTGGCATTGGATCCTGATGAGGTGGTGATGGTGTCGTCGGATCAAAACGATCTGGTCAACGCGAAAAAGCTTGGCCTGAGAACTGTTTACGTGAGAAGGAAGGACGAGGTGGATTATCATCGCGAGGTTGGCGGCAATGAGGAGCCGGTTGGTGAAGATGAGTTTGATTGGGTGGTAGAAAGTTTAGAAGAATTGGCCGATGTTATGGGATGTTAGTCTAGCGGCAGTTGTCAATGTTGGTGACAGTAGCAATACGTGTAGTATTGTGTCATGTACATATATACAGTATACACACACATATATATATATATCACATCAACTTAATATATTGATTTTTCGATTTTTTTATATTACACTGAATGTACGCACGCATATATAATGTTATTTTTCCTCTTTCTTCTTTTGATTCACGAGTTCAACGCAATAATAATTAAACGATATGGGACTTTTAACCGGATTTCATCTGATGCCTGATTTTTATTTACATTGAAAAGGTAAAAGGTACCGTCCGTTTACAAGGCCAAGATTTATTTCACTTTTGACATTTCGTTGTTTATCTCCCACATGTCTGCCTGTTATCTTAAAAACAGAGATACCGTTAAGAAAGTAATTCACAACAACGTATTTAGGAATTCTTTTGGGAATAGAATATATAATAGGGAAATATCGCAGAATTAAACAAACTAATTTTTCGCACGATTTTCTTTTTTTATATTAGATTAGATTTTTTTTTTTTTTTTTTTTTTTCGAAAAAATAAGAATCATTCTTTAGGAAATGGCATCGCCATTGGATCCAGTGACGAGTCCCCAAAAACGTCCAACCACACACGTGACGGCTTCTAAAACTCTTGGTGGTAATGTTTGGGCTGAGTAGACAGGCAGCACCTCCAAGAATGGCCAAGTAATTTCGAACCAATTTTCGTAAAGTTGCAATTTCGCAATCACGGCAAGGTTTCGAGGTGAAGAGGACAAAAATCTAAACATGCTTGTCGGTTGACCCGGATCGGTAGCCATGGGCGTGTCTATTAAACCCGGCGAGATTACCGAGACCTTGACGTTGTTACACGAGGCTAGGTAACGGAGGTCGCGAGCAAATGAGATCAACGCGGATTTGGTGGTATTGTAGTAGATCATCTGTGGTACGCTAAAGTGACCGACAATTGATGAGGTAACTGAATGTTTAAGAAGCAAATGCATTTTATCAATCTTATGACAATTCAGCATGTTCAAATAGCAAAGGCGGGCATACGTACTTGCAATTTGACCTTTCTTGTTGTCTTTCATATTCTTGAAAACAGTCATGACGGTGGCAATGGTCCCGTTGAGGTTGACCTCAAAGATTCTTTCCCACATGTCCTCCCAGCGATCTGTGTCGCTATCATATTTAAGACCAGCTTGAGCTAATACATCGACCGATCACGTAAAAAATCGTGTGTGAATTCACTGAAATAATTCATGATGGCAAGGCATGGGGGAGAATGCTTGAACTTACCGGCATTGGCTATCAATAAATCGACCGAATGCCTGTTGCAAAATTCTTCAATGGTATCAACTAAAATATCGGTTCGCGTGATATCACAGGCTAGCGTCTCAACGGTCGCTCCCTTCTTACGGCAACTATCCGCAACCATTCCCAAACGTTCTAATTTTTACAAATAAAGGTAGACGCGCTAGAACATAATAAAACCAGTCGTGCGTAAAAAATTACCTTCACTTCTGGCCAAGAGTCCCAAAGTGACACCAGGAAGCTTTGCATATTCCTCAGCAAATTTTGCGCCGATGCCGGAACTATTGAATATATATATATATGTCGAACATGAACAGAAAGGAAAGAATTTACAGAGACATCATTGGTCGACGTGAGACGCAACACACTCACCTTGCACCAGTAATAAGAACGACCTTGGGTCTCTCGCGGAATAGACTGGCAACCGACTTTGGGATATCCCATATCATGAAAAAGGTGGCAGCGGGAATCGAAATGAAGGTGGTGGTAAACCAAACGGTCCACGCTTGGATGATTGGTTGCAAGAATGTTGGAATGGTGATAGGCGGGAGAACCATCTTCAACGATGAATGTAAATACGGTATGTGAGAGAAAGTTTTGGAGTAAGAGAATAAAGTGAGTAATCGATCCAGAAAGGTTGAATACAAACGAGAGATATTTATACTCGTATTTTAGAGTAGCACTTTTTTTTTTTTTTTTTTTTTTTATTGACACACGTTAAATGTGTAGAATCTCTTTAACGTACTTTGTAGTTTGAGCATATGAAAAATGATTTGTTATTTTCTGTGTGAACATTAATTTCTACACATCATTTTATTTCTCTTTCCATCCATATCATAATTCTCGAGTCTATTTTATTAAATATACATTATCACGTGTCGACGTGATGAAATGATGAGGAGATTAGTTCTACTGATTACGTATTACATAAACTCAGACAATTTATCTAACTTTCACGAAATTTTGAATAATTCAATCTAACTATAACTTGATGAGTTGCAGTATGATGAAGGCACCGGTAAATAAGAATGCCGTATTGCCAGCTCCAAATTGCGTACGTGCTGATGAACTTGATGCATTCACGGTGTCCAACAGTATCGACGCACCGCTGTTATTATACGAATTTGACGTCACATCGACGCCCGGTCTGTATGGGTTGGGATTGTCAGGGCTCTTATAGCTGGAAGAACAAAAAAAAAAAAAAGAATCTGTAAACCGATTTTTTTACAGAACGAATCTTCGCCGCGTAACATACCCCAAAGTTTCAAGCAATAACTTTAATTTAGGACCAATCAGAAGTCCCGAGGTTCCACGGGCCGCCGCCAGGGCTGTTATGTTGGCTCCACGATCGGCCAAATACTTCATTAGGAAATCCGGTGCCTTGTTGTAGGTTTTGTAATCCACGTGATTGATGCTGGAGCCTTGTTTGTATGGTATCAGACTAGTCTCCAGGACGATCACTTCACTAGACTTGTTCGCCCCTTGCGGTAGGAACCCTAACGAATTGGGTGTGACAGCATATTCCATCATGTTCAGGGCAAATGTGTATTGTGGTGAGGATTTAAATTCCAAAGAGAAATTGTACTTGTTAGGAAAGATTGTCCCAGTTCTACCAACGAATTGATTTAGCTTGTTGGTGATGACGGAGGAAATTCTTTTTCCGGTTGGCAGGTGTATCATGTATTTGTCAAAAGCCATTTCCACGAATCCATTAAATCTCAACGATGAGTCGATAAGATTTACAGATGCGTATATGTTCGGGGTTATGGCCGTCGGTTCGCTATTTAAATGATCATTGAAACTGGAATGAAGTCCCAGGCCGTGTATGTATTCGTGTAGAACAACATATGAAAAATCTTGTTGTTCACTCTTAATAGGCGGATCCCCATCGAACCAAAGGTTTGTTGCCGCTGCGTTGAAAAGAGCCGTGATGTCAAACTCATAGAACTCGGGATGCCTTTTAAATCGAAACTGTTTGACTAATGCTTGCGGATACAATCTCGCAAGACCGTCATCGTCTTGCAGTAAGATCGAGCGCGCCGGAGAGGCACCTCCTTTGTAGAAAAAGATTGACATTTGTTTATTTAGTGATCCCTTCTTTCCACCAGATGCTAATGATATTTTTCATCGCCAATGTACCTAATGTTATCAACCCTGAATTCCCGCAATTTCCCATTGTCGCACAAAAATCCACGAAAACGGCATTCACATTTATTGGTGTGCTCAACGTCAAGGTCGACGAAATGATTTCTCCTGCGGCCTTAAAAGCATTCTCAACTTTTGCGCACAGGGTGCGGTTGCCTATACTGCACGTAACATTCACCACAAACATGCTTTGTAGTACCAAAAGGTTTTCTTCTACGAGGTGATCTATCATGGGACATCTTACTGGTACCTTCAGAGTTCGATCCAGCGGATTCGGGTGATCATAACATTGCGAGGGCACGTCGACTGAAAGTGAGGGTGTTATGAAAAAGAGTGCAGGAAGTAATGATAACAATCGTATTGTCATTATTGTTATTATAAATGATCCTTTCATCATATAGACCGATAATGCTATTGTTATCGAAAAAATGAAGAGAGTAAGAGAAAAGGGAAAGGCAAAATGTCTCGGTTGTAGTCCGAAGTACAAAATAAGCGCACCAATTTTCTGTTAAAGCAGAAATTATACAGTACATGTGATGATTACTTGCACGTATGTTACGGCGGAGAATGAACGTTAGATTTAATGTTTCACCGTAAGGTTTATTAACGTTACGTAATTTAATACATATCAACATTCTCGAGTTAGATCATGCACGGCAAATAAGTATCATGAAACTCTGTTCTAACGGTTCTTACATAGTTTAAAATGAAATCTCGATTCCTTCATTTTAATCGGAGAAATGTGAGAAGACGTGTGGGCGATATCTTGTATCTTAACAAAACAACGATATGCATAACCATTAAAACTCCGAAAACGTTAACAAGTAGTCATTTCTGATTTTAAGCAAGCTCTATGTGCAAATCCTTTCCCGAAGTTGACGAGTTGAATGGCACTTCATACATTTTATGCCATATTATATAGTACATAGTCTATGCCATTTACGACTCTTACTAGTGTCGATGTTTGACATTTCATTCGAGATCTCCGGTTCCGCGACAGATATCGCAAAATAAAAAAATTTTGTACCGCATTGATATGCCGTTCTATTTCAAGTTTACGTATTAAGAAGTTTTGGCAAATTTAACACTACTCATTAAAAAAAAAGAACATTTTTTGCGTTAGATTGCATTGAAATAATTTCAAAATGAAAAGATCACTCATTCCTCAAAAAGGAAATCGTAGATACAGTGCAGTATCTCGAAAAAAAGTGACGTGCGTTTAAATTATTATCTACCGGTATTTAATCGACGAATTAAAAAAAACTGTTACCTAACTTGAACGTTTTAAATGATCATTAGGAAATGCCTTGAAAAAAATTCATTAATTATTATTTTGTAAAAACAGGGCAAACATCAGTAATTTGAAAAGGACCTTCTTTAGGAACCTTCTTACCACGGAAACGAAAAATGTTACTTGACCTTTTAAATTGTCAGTAGTCAAATTTTTAACTAAAGAGGGAAATTATCAAACTTCACGTGAAAAATTTTATCAAAAAATTAATAAAGAGAATTTTTTTTTAAAAAATTTTACTAATACAAAGATTTTTTTTTTACCCTACAGTTATGCTATTCGGCCCATTTTTTATTAAATAATAATTGAAATCAAATCAATATCACGATGATATTTTCACTTGATAATTTACTTATTATTAATTCAAGAATTGAATTATTAAAAAAAAATATAAGTTTATTAAACTAACTCAAATCAAATAAAATTAATTCTATAGAAAAAACTCTTTGATCCTCTGATCACAAAAAAGATGTTCACAAGAAATTTTATACTTTTTTGCTAATAAAGTCTTAACACTTTCATTAAAACAATTTGGAATATGACTCCAAAAGTCACTTTTACACTTTTCCTCTTATTTACAAACCTTTTCACTTGAAAACTTGACTTCCAGTGATCAAAAAAAGTTAAATAATATCTTTGATACCAATGACAAGAAAGTTTTCAAAGAAAGAAGAACTGACTCTAAAGTATCTAAAGGTCTTTTTAACCTTTGAAGTAAGAGGTTTATGGAGGTTTTTTGCAATAAAAAGGTTTATTTTCTCTCTTTTTGACTGTCTATACCTTCTTGAAATTTTCACTTCCACGGTTTTCTAAGAAATTTTGCCTATCTTAGTTTAATCCTGAATTTTAGATAGCATAAATCCTCACTAAAGAGAATTGGTTGACACAAAACACATTAGTTTTTAGAATGTAAACAAGCTTCTATTAGTTACACTCATGTATTCCAATAATTTTATTGATAATTAAAAAGAAAAGTCAATGAAAAAGATACTTTTTAACTGAACAAGTTTTCAAGGAAGACAATTATGATATCAAAAAGCAAATAAAGAATATGAAATATAGTATTCTTATCTCTTAATCATATTTCTCAAGTGATGAGAAGATTTTTTCAAAAAGAAAGTTGAGGTTTTCAAGTAAGTTTCTATTCCAGTCAGGCAAAATTTTTGCAAAGACTTTTTTATTCTAATCTGGCTAACTTATTATAATATAGTACTGGTACTAGTTTTGTATTAAATAAATTTATATATTAGTAAAAGTATAAATTTCTCAAACATTCTTCTTGAAGTCTCAATACTCAAGAATAATTAAATTCCTCAGATGATTCAAAGTTCAAAGAATATTTTATTTAGACAAATCTCTTTTGAAAGAAGATTATTTATTTGAATAAAAATCTTTTGGAGAACTATAAATTGGTTTTTTTTTTTCCTTTTCCAGTTTATAATTAACAATTAATTATTTTTTAAGATAATCTACAATAACAAATTGTAAGTGATAATCCGATAGATAAAGGTTATAACCAATTTATCAGTGGAGTATAATATTGTTCCAAAATCTGATTTAGAGTATCTAGTTTAGACTTTATTTTATTTAGTTTGAACTAGCTTAGTGGACTCCTTATATTTTTAAGTAGTATAGTTCTTTAACTAATAATATGCAAAAATGAATTAGTCATTAAGTAAAAAAACTCTTTCCTGTAACTCCCTTTTTTCTTAAAAATTTCCTTATAAGGAAATTTTTTCAAAGAAAAAAGTAAACAACGAGAGATAGTAGTTTTAAAGACCAAACATAATATAGTGAACTTTTCTATAGAGATAAGCTTTCCCTACGATGCTACGTTCAAGTACTTTGAACCTGCAGAACAGCTGGACCAAGTAAAGGAGCTCTTTGCCAAATGAATAGACAAGGCTTCTTCTGTCTGTTTTAATAACTCTAAATGACAAGTCTTCTCTCTTCCACTTGATCTGAGCTCCTCTAAAAAGAAGAGAAAACGTTATCTGAAAAAAGAAAGATGCCAAGGAGACAAGAAACAGTGTAAACCAAAGGATAAACAATCTTTGCCTAAACAACCTCTGCCCCCAAGGCATATAAATGTTCTAAGTATGGTGAAGACTTTACTAGTCCCACTTCACAAAAGAAACATTTCAATAGATATCACAAAATGGATATTATGGAAGTTGAAAAACATGCCAAGCGAAGAAAAAAGCATAAGGCAGCCTATCAAGAAACCAAGATCAGTACTGCTGGAGCACTGACCTGGAAGTCTCCCAGAAAAATTTTCAAGACCGATTGCGATAAACTCGATGAATGGACAGTGTTTGAATTAATAAAGCAAGCAGGGATGAACTTGGCAAATATCGGATTCATCTATCTAAGGAAAGGGAGATTGGTATTCACAACTACACTCCTACTACTGGTGGTTTTGGACTAACCATTTGAGGTTTCAAGACTTATTTAAAGCCTATCTACTTCACGCTTGAAGGGCTATTCAAAGATGGGTTTGACAAAACAATCAATAACCTTGATTTCTATCACAAATACAAATCCTTGTTGATAGATATACAATGTGAAGAAGTCAACTTTATCGATGGAACTTTTAGGGATGGTTGGAAGGTAAGACTCCATCCCTATTATTCCTACGTTTAAGTTGGTAATGAGTAAACATTATACCGGCGGGATGTCAAGTAACATCAGGAATTTTGGTAACCCTTCTGTCGGAAAACCTTGGTGGGAGAAGGAATTCGCGGACCATACTGAAGTATTTAAAATCTATAACACAGGTTAGAGTATGATAATGGTTTGATAACTAGATTACTCTTTAAAATTGTTCTAGAAAAAATTAAGAGAGTATCGAATATCTTTCTTACAGTGTAGTTTTACATTTATAGTTACATTATTTGTATTTGCTCTTATATTTATTATGTATTATGAGTATTTGTAAAATTCTATCTTTATGAGTATAATAAAATAAAGATAAAGATATTAAAGAAAGTCA